GATTGACAGAAAGATAAAATTTCTTACTTGTTCCATCTGCTATTGAGGGAATAAAGTCCCAGAAGATAACAGATATATAAAGGAGATTAAAAAAAGATAGGACTTGTGAAACAAGCTTTCCAAAGCAAAAGAAATCTGCTAATGTCAAAATACCTGAGTATGGAAGCAAAGAATTTGTTTTTGTATTTACTAAGACATTTCTTTGGAGTATTTTGTTGTATGGAAGTGAATGCTGGACACTAGGAAAGCAAGAGATGATGTGTCTGGAGTGAGCAGAAATGTGGATATGGAGGAGAGTAAACAAAATAAGCTGGACTGAACAGAAAACAAATGAAACAGTTCTGACAGAAGTGGCAGAACAAAGGAAGTCAATACAGGAAATAGGAGAAAGAAAAATTAAATTTATAGGTCATGTTGTTAGGAACAATAATTTCCTAAAAACTCTCCTTGAAGGAAGAATTCTCAGAAAGAAAGGAAGAAGAAGACCAAAGAAAAAGTATCTTGAAGAAGTCAGTGCTTCTATGGGGTTCCAAAGTTATTATGAATTAAAAAGGACTGCAATAGACAGAGAGCATTGGTTGCAGTGACAAGGCAAAACCTTTAGTAATAGAATCTTGCACAAAAAATGAAAATTATTACAGGAAATGTGGTATTACTGGGAGACTCCGACTTTATGGCTCTTTTTTCATTTTAAATATTTTACGTAAAAAATATGATTTCTAAATATGCCTGAAAATTGTTAAATTGTTTGAAAATCTTTCTTGCATAACAATTTGTAATGTTAGAAAGATTATCAATACTATTGTGTTGATAATCTTTCTAACATTACAACAATACAAATGATTAATCTTTGAAGCATTATCAACATGATAGATAATACTTCAAAGTCTAATGATTAATTTAACAAGCCATAAAGTTTTTCTAGTTTCACATAATTAAAAATAACAATTTAGATGTGTTGGGGTTATTGATAAGAATAATAAGCACAACTAGACACCTATAACCAGCAAAAACAAGTATTTTTTAAAGAAAATGAATGTTTTTATTAAAATATGTCATAAATGTGCACCAATTTTTTTGAATACACATTTGATTTTATTTTTGTTTCATTTAACTTAATGTCAGTTTAAAATGGCAGAAAACATTCATTTTTCTTAAAGTGTATCAATTTTTACCAGTTATAGGTGTCTAGTTGTGTTTATTACTGCAGTATACTAGTATTGATAAGAATTTATGTTATTTTTATGTGATAAATATTCAATTACAGTGGAATCTGCCTGTTTTAATTATTTTTGACATTTGCTTACACTAATAACAATAAATAGGGTAGATAAATGAGACTGATTACAATTAGTGGAATTTTTGTTTTTATTGACAGTAAAAGGACATCTTAAAACAATTATAAAATGTGTAACTAGAAGATTTATTAAATATAATTTTTATTAAATAATAATAATTCATCCAAAATATATTTTCAGTAATAAATGCCAGCAGCTTAAACTACTGTGAACAAGTAATGATTCTAACAATAAATATAAACATTTTAAGCAGTAGTTAATGATTGCATGTTTCAACCACATGTTGAGACTGATATAATGAAAAAATAACAAATATGCAATTTACTTCAAGAAAATGATTTTTTTTTTAAGTTTTTTTTATTATATCTTTTCGAAGCTCATAATAGATTGACATGGATTGATGATATTCATTCCATATGGACAGTATGTTTTCAATTTTGTATGCTTTGTGTCTCAGAATAATTCAGCTATATGTCTTGCTGAATAGTCAGTTGTTTGATTCAATGGTCTCAAGCATTTTCTGGTAGCTGAGCAAGATTAAGGGGTATGAGAGACACTATGTGCCAACTGAAATATAGTCTGCTTGAATGTAGGCTTGAGATCCATGCATTTTCCCACTTATGTTCACTGTTCCATCATATTTTTGACCATATAGATAAATGTATTAATACCATTCTCTGTATTCAATGCAAAAATACAGTTGTTGATAGCAGTTGTGGTTAAGTTTTGCTCCATGCAGTCTGCCACAGATACACAGCTTACAAAACTTTTTTATCATGCATTTGTTGCTTCCAAACCAAAAATGTCTGATGTTTCATTAGCTAACAGTGAGAAAGTTTAGATTTATTAATACTTTGTACCAGCCTTTTTGATTTTGTTTTTGTAAAAAATCAAAAACATTTTGGATTCTGTTACTTGTGTGTAGAGCAGTTTTGATGACTCCAAGTGGTTTTTATTGGGTCATCTGTTGTAGTTCAGTGCCAGAGAAGAACCTAGAAGTTGCCATTATTTACAGCAAGCACTTTAACTGTTATTTGACTATCTTCTTTTTGAGTCCCTCATGGTTAAACTCATTCTGCACAGAAGTACTGTCTGTTGAAAATTCCAACCATCTGTTATGGTCATCAGGATGCAATGCCTGCAGAAAGTACAGCTTCATATCTGGACATTGTTTAAGAACACACCTTACTGTTGTTTGAGGAATTCCAAGTTCAGTGCTTGCCCATGTTGTGGATCCTAGGGCTCTGTTCTGACACACCTCAGATATGCTCAACATTTTCATCTGGCAAGCGAAGACAACCAGTGCTTTTCCATTTGCACATGCAACCATCTTCTAAGAATTATTTTGCTAGTTGTAAATGTGCTTATGACAAGGTGGCTGTTTGTTGAACCAATGGTGAAATTCATATTGCTCTTCAACAATGGATTCAACTTTACAAACTGCAGTGCTGTTGACATTGAATGGAAATTCTAGGTGGGCTTTTAAAACTTCGAACCTTCCTCTATCAATGATATGCAGATTGTGTTTCCATCTCTTAATTTGAAATAAAAATCCAAAATATGCTCCATCTGCTTGAATAACCCTGTATAAAATTACATAATAAAGCAAAATTAAATTATCCAGTAATGATTCACATTACATCAGTCAAAAATAGATGGAATTAGATGAAAAAAGTGTCTTTCAACATCTAACAAAAACATTTGTTTCAGGAAGGTCACCTTTGCTATCTTATTGGTGATTTTATAGAAAGCTCTCCAAACCACAGTGTTATTTATGGCTTAAGAAGCTTTCTGTGTCATCTGTTTTATCTGGAGTTTGTCATAATAACTTTTCCTGGTCTTTTCTGCTAGTAGATTGTTGACCACCATCATTATCATCTGCACAGCTTGTCTTGACATTTATCTTGAATTTTTAGCAGGTGTTTTCCTTGAGTTGACCAATAAGAAGTTTGTTTTATGGTCATATGGGATATGTCAGATCTCAAGTTAGTTATTTTCTCTTGTGTCTGTCTGTCCTTTCTTAATGTTGAGAATTCAGTTAGATAGATGAGTCAAGACCCGATATGGAAAGCTTAGCGGCAGGAGGTGCCAGTTAACTATATATAAACTTCTGATTTGCATTGAAAGTCATATTATTTCAATTCAAAAATTTTTCTGTGAATGGAGTTAGATTGATGACCAGAATGACTATTGCTAATGGGAAAAATATGATGTATAGGCAAGACACTACTAAAATTGAGAACATTCTGACAAAAATTTTCAACCCATCACAATAAATAATTACTTGTTTTAAAATTTTTTTCGTAGACAATAAACTCATCATTTACTCTCATGTATTGCATTAAAATTTCAAATAAATATTTAGTTTTCCATATTTTTTAAAATGATTTAAGTGGCCATTTTTTGACATCATCTAATGTAATAATACATTATTCATAAAATAGTTAAGGTTTAATTTTACAAGAAAGCATACAATAACTTCAAATACAGTATACAGTAATACCCCGAACTTATGCGATAGGTGGGACCGAGCGATAACCGCGTAAGTCGAATTTGCGTAAGTTGGGGTATTTCGCATATAAATACATACAAATAATTTTTAATTGGGGCTGGAGACTAAAAAAAGCAATAATTTAGAAAAAAAATGTTTAATAAAATCTTAGATAATACATATGTATAACATATTATATCATTACACAATTTTTCACAATTACAGTACTTGATTATCACACCATAATTTTAACATTGTTTCCATCTCAGCGATAATACCGTGACATTTACGAATGATGCTTGAATTTAAAGATTGAGCATTTTTCGCAGCTTTGAGAATTTTTTCTTTACCTTTTATAATTGTTCTGACCGTCAATTCTGGTAGATCAAACTTCTTCGCCAATTCACAAATTTTCATTTTTGTATCGAAGTCTTTAATAATGTTAACTTTACATTCCAAAGATAAAGTTTTTCTTTTCTTGTTTGATGCAAAAGAATCAGTTCTATTTCGTTTGGATGACATAGTAGAGTCTCTCGAGTCTCTATAGATAAAACAAACACAGAAATAAATAACACAAAATAAATTGTAGCTATGCATCGATTCCGCGTGACGCATCTGAACATGTAAGCTGAACAATAGTGTGGGGGAGTGAGTAATCAAGAGTTGCATGGCGCTCAAACAAAAGACGAATCAACGAGATTTGAAAATCGTGTAACTCCAGGTTCGCGTAAGTCGAGGTATTACTGTATTTAAAAATAAATCAAGCAGTGCTGGATTTCTTAAGATATAATTGTTCAATTTTTCAATTAATTTACTTATAAATGTAAGAACTGAGTTGGGTTTCATGGGGTGCTTTCTTGTTTGGTCATTTGACAACATCCACATTCAGGGATCAAAGTTGATGCTCTCTCTGTTCAAGAGCTGACCTTATTTAGAACTATTAGTAACTATTCAACTGTTCTTATAAAGGGTTGGAGTGATTAATGAAGTGCTTTAACTCAATGTAAAATGGAATTGGGAAAATTACTTATATAATTTGAAACTTGTGACACTGTCATCTTATGTCAAATGATTCAAACTAATTTAATCAACAGCATTATCTACCTCTGGATCCAAGTTGTGTTAGTAATTTATTTGAAAAATTTTGTATTGTTGTACTTGAAAATATTTTATTGTAACCTTAATTTTTAAGCTTGAAATTAATTTTCTAGGTTTGATGGAGCCAAGGTTTTGATTTTCCATATTTGTGTAATTCCAAATTCTACAACATAAAATCTTGAGAAATGGAAAATTCAAATGTTGTGTTAAAACAATGTAAAAATATTTATGTTAATTCAAACTTTTACGTAGTAGATGTGAGTATCAAATAATATTTTTTAAAATCATAGATTAAACTATTAGTCCAGTGGTTCTCAATTCTTGCCGATTCACTCCAATGTACTATAAATTATTACTTTATTTAGAGACAATTCTATGATTACTATTTTATTCAAAACAATAAAATTTATTAGTTTATAGCTTTATTGTTTCATGAGAATACTAAACATGAAATTGCTTATCAATTTTTGAATATATTAATATTAAATTTGTTTTTTAAATAAAAAAAAGTTTTATCATCCAGCAAAATTTTAAAAATATTAATGTTCCATGTAATAAAGTATACAAATAGTGTTGCACAGTTTCAGAAAGGTTGAGAACCACTGTATTAAACTGTAGTTTAGAATGTTTTATCTTTAACTTAATGATATGAATTACTATATTATGAATTATTTTAAGAAGTAAATTTATACAGCATAATCTCTTATTTTTATGAAATTCTAGCTTTTTACAATATTCTGGCTAAAATTATCTTCTTCTTAATACTGGAATAAATCACAAATCACATACATATTTTAAATAACGTTTAAAGTCAGTAACAAAAATTTCATTAATTTAAAGACCTGAGGCAAATCTTGGTCAAGGTTGAAAACATTTGTCAAAAGTTTTTTACAGTAACAAATTTTTATTACCAGACTTAATATTCTGGCTTATGAAGAAAGCAAAAGAATTACATTAATATCAGGTGTAGTAAGATCTGATTTCTTGAAAAATTTCAATGAATTACATGTGTTATTCTTATTGATAATATATGTAATTAGTCCTTCATATACCGTAGAAACTTCTTATTAAATGAAATTAAAAAATAAACCTATATATCATATTTATTCAAATAAACAGCATAGTTGAAAATCTGACTGATTAATTTCAAATTATTTAATATTGTTTTATTAACTACATTGCACTTGAAATAATGTTTGATGTATGGAATTAATTGCAACATAAGTCAATTAATTTATCAATTAATAATAGAAAAATGCAACCACCAGAAAATATTAGTCATTGTGCCTATTTGCTCAGAATGATATCAGTACAGAACTGCCAAGAAAGTATATAATTCATATTAAAAAAAGATACATTAAATTACTAGGAAGGCTCTATAAAACAATTTTAAAAAATACCCAATGATGATTAGTTAACAATTATAATACAATTATATATTCCTGATTTAGTCATTTATTGTTAATTTGGCAGTTGTTCCATTATGATTTGTGAACATACATTACCAATCTATGTTTACAAAGATGTTACATAAAATTCAAAGCTATTCATTCCAATAAAATAAAACGTCAACAGCACACCGTGATATATAACAACTAACCTCTAAAAACCAACACAGTTCATTTTCTCAAAAAATACAATATCACAAACGTTTTTGAACATAAAGTTCTTCCTCAGGTGAGAAACGGATGAAAAATTGAACAAAATTCGATGGAATAAAATTTTTGAATTGTAAATATCAACAACTCATAGCCCAAGTAGTAAATACATCACGATCAAATACAAAACGATCGCCTAAATATCGGGCTATAAGCCGTATTATAGCCCGATATTTAGGCGATCGTTTGGTGATGTATTTTTGAATTGTTTTACGCTCCTCTTTCAGAAAGTGTTCCATCGAATTTTATTCAATTTTTTGTCCATTTCTCACCTGAGAAAGAACTTTATGTTCGAAAACATTTGTGATATTGTATATTTTTGGAGAAAACGCACCGGTATTGGTTTTTAGAGGTTAGTTGCTATTCATTCTGTCTAATTGTTTAAATAAGTTAGAATAAAAACAATATTCTAACATACTAAAAAATAAAATTAAGATAAATTATGATAAACAAGACATTAAAAACAATTCTTTTTCTAAAACCAGACAAGGAATACAAGTACAGCACCACAATACTTTAATCCAGTCCCGCACTAGGTTCAGTCTTAGAAGAAGATCAAAAACATTACTTTTTCTAGTAAATTAACCTGGTATGGACTAGATCAAGATATTATGGTAGCGAACAAGACATTATAATAGAAAATATGGTCATTTTAAAAATTAAGACAAAGTGAAATTATAGATCTTTCATTTGTTATTACTTTCTAAAAAGGTATATTTTACCTTCAAAAATGTAGAAACAAAATAAAAGTTTTAACAGCATATACTATATATCTGGAAATCTCTCTACCTATCCAAAAAACCTTTTTGATTCAATAGATAATTTTTAATCAAATGAATGTTTTTGACTGGCATTTTCAGGTTCTAACTACAGAACATCAATTAAACTGTGAATATTACAATTTAGAAATCATTGTAGATTGATTTGAATTTAACATTTAAATATGAAAACAATTGCATACAAAATTAACCTATAGATAAACAGAAAATGTAAGGTTTTGAAAATTCAAGTAAAGATTAATATGTACACAAATAAATAATAACCTCATACATAAATATTTGAAAATAACAGTTGTATGCTTAAGAAAGGTCACCTTTCAGGGACTAAAATTCTTGTGATACAATATCCTCCATGCATTTGATAATCCTGCAGCTGAAAATATTTGTTCTATTAAAAATTACTTGCTGGATCAAAAAGGTTTTTTTGGATAATATTATTATTATTGGCTGAATCCAGTTCTTTACTTGCAAGTTATTTTCATGTCTGCATAATTAGAAAACAATTCAAAAGGATGATAAGATTATGCTTAAAAATTGTCTGTTTTAATCTATAATTTATATTGCTTCATAAACGATCAATATAATTAAATATAAAACATATGCATTAATTAAAGCATATTAAATATAATCAATATTTAATATGCTTTAATTAATGCATATTAAATATAGTTTGATTATCTTAATTAATGAAACAAAATGATTACTGGATTTAAATTAGACTACTTTACCACTACTGTTAATAGTTAAATACTCATTAATTTGATACTAGAGGTAGGCATTAGGCACTGTCTCTTATTAACTATTAAAATTATACTGTGCTGATGCATATCTGGCAATGCATCAGCAAACTAAATGGCAGTTGCGAGTTTGAGTCCTGCTCCAGGCAAATTCTTTTCTTCCAGAATATTCTAAATTATTTAATAAATATTAATTTAATTACTTAAACTTTACTTATAATTATTTTATTTAATTATATCAAATTACTCTGTACTTAATTATTAATAGTAGTAGTAAAGTAGCGTGATTTAAATTCAGTAATTGTTTAGTTTTGTTATAAAATATCAGACTTTGAGGTGTTTATATTATCTTAGTTAATAATTATAAGTAATTGTTGTTATTAATAGCAACTTAAAGAAATTGGGTAAGAAAATTGATTATAAATATTAATTTTAATTTATCTGCAGGTTGAATTTAATATATTTTTAAATTGTTTTTCAGAAAAGCAAAGAACCCAATGCAGTTTTAGAAACTGGTAAGTAATATTTAATTTTCAAGTTTTTGAAACAATGAATTTATTGAAAACAATTGGTCAATTTTTTTGGAAAAATAAAATAGAAACAAGTCAGATTTTGCTTACGTAAATGCTTAAGTAAAAGTTTATAATGTACAGTACAGTACGATAAAAAATACATATAAAACTTAATACATTTTAAAAGAAAAATATTTGTTTTAATGGAGTTTAAAAAATAACAAGTTCTGGTTTTTGGACTTATATCTATTGTCTAGAACACTACAACACTGTTACCAATGGTCAGATAGCCAAGTTGGTAAAGGCATCAGTTTATTGCTCTGCAGATCAGGATTTGATTTCTAGGTTATAAACTTCAGAATTTTTCGTGGACTGTTGAGTTGTATTCCTCACCATTGTTCCCATGTACATTGTCAATCTGAGAAAAGTCCATGGTATGATTGAAAAGACCCTCTTACAAGGGAACTGTCAGAGTGTCTTCTAATAAATTTTAATAAAATTTAGTTAATAACTACGTTAAAAGTATACAAACTCTATTTTAAATTTGTAGCATTCACTAAAAGTGTTGATCAGAGTTATTAGCAATCAAATGTTGCACTACTTTATAGTAGTTTAACACAATTATGCAAATTTTTAGAAGTGAAAGAGTCGCGGAGGAAGACGGCAATATTACATATAGAATAAATTCTGGAATTTTCAAAAATGGTTGAAGAATTAATAAAATTTTGTATACTTTTAACATAATTATTAACTAAATTTTATTAATTCGTCAACCATTTTTGAAAATTTTACAATTTATTCTAAATGTAATATCGCCGTCTTCCTCCGCGACTCTTTCACTTCTAAAAATTTGCATAATTGTGTTAAACTACTATAAAGTAGTGCAACATTTGATTGCTAATAACTCTGATCAACACTTTTAGTGAATGCTACAAATTTAAAATAGAGTTTATATACTTTTAACAAAGTTATTAACTAAATTTTATTAAAATTTATTGGAAGACACTCCGACAGTTCCCTTGTTAGTGTCAAAAATGTAGGGGAAAAATACACTATTACCAACAGAATTTCTTTGCTTATTTCTCTGTTCTCACAGTCATTTGTAAGAAAGTTACCAAATATTATCGTGTAACCATATTATCATTTATAACATATATGTTATACAGTAGATGATAATCCTTATGGGCTAGCCTTAAACTAGACCATTATATAATACTATTACTTTGATAATGTTTATTATGAATGTGTGTTGTAAGAAAATGTTTATTTGTGTAGTATGAAATGTTTTGTCTTCCAGGATAATCCTTATCCTGGAAGACAAAACATTTCATACTACACAAATAAACATTTTGATGTTGTCCGTGTATCTCTTATAAGTAATGATCTTTGGTAAGAATAATGGTAGAGCTTTTTGTTCCAATTGACATACAACCATTTCATTGAGGGGGCTACCCATGGGCACCCTAGCTTTTGGGGCAAGTAAGTGATATTAAACTGAAAGAGGAGAAACATGTCATATGTGCCAATTCTAAGATTTGCTAGTGATGAACAGACACTTCAATTTTCTGAAATAATAAATCCCAGAAAGTACAGTAGCTTCATCAACGGAAATAGATATGAAATCAAAAATTGTTACAGGAACAGTATTGGTCAGTTCCATTTGCTGTAAGAAATCAACCTGATCAGTGGAATTAGTGATTGTGAATGTACAGTCACTTAACCATGAATTTTAAAATATACGATGTACAATCTCTCTTATGAACAGTTAAGTAACTTGACCCTCCTCAGTGAACCTATGAAGTGGTTGTACATCAATTAGAACAAAAAGTTTTACCAAAGAACATTAGTTATAAGAGATATGTGGGCAACATCTTTATCTTATAGAAGATAAAACCAGATATAAACATTTTCTTACAATACATGAATGATAACACTATGAGCTAGTCCTTAAACTAGACCAGTCAAGAGATACAGGGGCTCAGTTTTTAGTTCTCAGCATTATGTAATTTTTTTGGGCATTTCTGATGATTGATGGATATGAGTTCAAAAGACCTAAAACTTATTGTTTTTGTATGTTTCGTGTATAGTTTACTTTCAAAAAGTAAATTTAAAAAACTCAGCTTTCTATTGTGACATATGTTGTTTTGGATCAAAATGTTTCTTTGGTTTTTTGCTAGATAATAATGATGCAAACACAACATAATATAACATTACAAATAAATGTTGGAGTTAAACTCCGCCATAGTACAGTTTTTTAAAACTGACATTTTTTATCATAGTTGAATGGTCATCATTGGGCTTCCTAATAGAAGCACCAAAGTTCCGAAATAGAATTAGAACAAAAATCATTTAAAATTACAAAATATTCAGCAACTGTTAGATTTTAAATATTGATAGAACACTTATGCTGTTGGTTCATTTAAAATATTTCTTGGAACCGTCTGTACCATATTTTAAATTATGTACAAAAAATTAGCTTGAACAGTAATTTTAAAATCAAATACCATTGAACTATAACTGCTGGATGTTAGACTGTGCAAGAAAATATTAGAGCTTTGCAATGAAAAGATCCAAAACAGATCACAAATTAGCAATAACGTATGATCTAAAACTACAATAAAAGTTACAAAAAATTATTAATTTTTGATTTATTTTGGTTTGTTGATTGATTGTCATCAAATGAATATATTTTTAGATGGTAATATGCTTTTATATTTTTAAATTTAATATATTAAATTAGATAGTCAATAGTTTTTATTAATTTTTATTTATAATAATTGTGTATTTTTGTAACAGATTATTCAGAAACCCTCATAACGGACCTTCAAGGTTACTTAAGATCTGAATATCGCAATAGACAAGCTTGGATATGTACTCAGCCTTGGATTTCTGATAAAGAATGTCATATTAGTGATTTCTTTGTTCCGCTAGATATTAATCCAGTGATGTTAAATGATCAAGGATGGTTTATCGATAGGAATACAGTGGTGTCCATCGAAGAACTCTTTCAGAATGACAGACGCTTTCATCCTTCAAAACGCATCCTAATTCAAGGAGAATCTGGTTCCGGAAAAAGCACCTTATTGAGAAAATTAGCATTGGACTGGGCTATGCAAAAAGATGGTTATCTTTCTCATTTCACATTGGTTTTTCTTTTACAGTTAAAGTACATGGATTTGGATATAGATGATGCTTTGAAAGATCAAATATTATTAACAAATTTTGAAGAAAGTTATAAAGGAGGTATTATTTGGGATTATATAAGAAAACATCAGCATGAAGTATTATTTCTTTTAGATGGTTTTGATGAAATGCCATACGAGTATAAAAAAACAGGTACTTTTGATAGATTGTGTAAGGGCATTACAATTCCTGAAGCATGTGTTGTCATTACTTGCAGACCACATGCTATGACAGAGATAATAAAACATTGTGACAAAAAATTTGCCGTTAAAGGATTTAATCAGAAAAGCAGTGATAAGTTTGTTTCTCGTTTTATTCAAAGACAGTTTAAAACAGATGATGATAATACAAAACCTTTTGGAGAATTTTTATTGGAGTTTTTATCTTGCGGTAAACCTGTCATCATTAAATCTTTAACAGAAAATCCATTAACTTTAAATCTGTTGTGTACTTTGTTAAAGGAAAAATATATTTTAAATAATGTTAATAATTCGTCAAAACTGACAACTGGCATATACTTAGGCATTTGTCAGTGTTTTTATCAAAGAACTTTATTAAGAAAGCAAATGAATTGTGAAAATAATTTTTTTGAAAGACTGTTCAAAGAGTTGGGACGTCTATGCTTGAAAGCTGTGAAAACTAAACAGTGTATCATTCAAGTGAATGATTTTGATTTTTGTTTTTCGAAAAATTTCTTGCACGACATTGGTCTTTTCCAGCAGACAGATAATGGCTGTATAGAATTATTACATCAATCATTTATGGATTTCCTTGCAGCATTTTATTTAAAAATGCAATGTTTAGATGATATTCAGGGTTTCAAAAAAGAAATATGCGATATAGTCACAGAAAGTAATGTTGGTTCACTTATGCTGCCACTTGAAGTGTTTATATTTCTTTGTGGTTTATTGCAAGAAAGGGCTCATATATTTTTCAATAGTCTTCCTAAAGATATATATTGTAGATTAAATTCTCATGAATTAGTTAACCATTTGTCATATTTAATCCAGGAATGTGGTAATAGTGATGAAAATATGCTAGCAATACAAAAATTCTTTCCGGAACATCTTATACTAGATCGCATTCTTACTCTTCACGCTTTTACAAATATAATTCCTGGTCTTAGTTTAATTCTATCCCACAAACATTGCACTGTGAAAAGTATTGTGATATCATCCGATACTATTCTTAGTTGCTGTTTAAATGGAAGAGATGCGTTCTATCAACTTCTTGGGGGTCTGTGTCGAAACAAATCTATAAAATCTGTAGATGTGAGAATGTTCACGTCATTTGGAAATTTTGAAAATTTTTCAAATAGAGAAAACATCAAATATGCATTTAGAGAACTCTGTAAATTTGGCTTGTCTGATAAGGAATTAATTAGTTTGAGTATGAAATGTGATTTCAGTTTTGAAGACATTGCTCAAGAAGTTTATGAACTGTTGAAATCTCACACAACACTGCAAAATATACGTTTAGTATCTACAAATAAAGACTTGAGCACAGAATCAATGGCCTTAGAAAGGATTTTAGATGCACTAAAGAATAATTCAAATATTGAGAGTTTAAGTCTTACAGGCTTTTATTATCATCATAATTCATGGAATAAATTTGAATCTATTTTGGAAAATTATGGATTAAAACACCTAGAACTCTCCATTACACAAGAAATAAATTTAATTGAAAAAATGAAAAAATGTTTAGACAGTATCAGTCAACATTCGCTGACTTATGTTTCTGCTTTGGATAGTATGTTTAAGTCATTTAGCACTAAAACTTGTGCTTTAGAGAGTTTGGATTTTATAGGAACTTTATTATCTTCGTCGGATATTATAAATTTATCAGAAGCTTTGGAATGCAATACAAGTATTAAATCACTAAAACTATTTAATTCTTGCACCAAATTTAAACATCTTCATCCTCTTATATCTACTATATTGAAATCATCCATTACAGATTTATTTATTGGTAGCAGTGCTTATCTGAATGCCAAAGACAAATCCGTCCATCTACTCAGTAGATTATTAACAAAAGAAAACCTTGTTAAACTTTCCTTTTCTGGAATTAAATTTTGCATTCTAGATTATGACTTACTGAAGAGTTTGGCAAAAAATTTTAGTATAAGTTGTGTGAAAACATTACATTTTATACAGTGTTCAATCATTTTAAGCTATAAAAGCAATGCCAATATCAAAACACCACTAATGCCTGATTATAAATATACAAAAGAACTGTTACCAATAAAAATGAACAATTTGGAAAGTCTACACTTACATTTATCTGTTAATGTGAATAATTTTCAAGAGAGCTGGGTTAAACAAATTGAAAGTTTTAAAAATGCCCTTAACTTGAAAGAACTAAATGTTACTGGTGATTCAACTGTAATTGAAGATAGTTTATTTGAACAGATTTGTTCATGCCTATTGAACTTCAAGCACTTGGAGAAATTAACATTACAGAGTTGCTGTTTCAAAATTGATGATGACAACATATGCTTAAATGCATATAAATTACTAACTATACAACTTCATTTAAAGTGGATTGAATTCAAAGGATGTTGCTTTGAATCTAACAGTTCCAAAAAATCATTTTTTTCTCAACTTGCCATAATCACATTGAATACTCAGCATATTTGCGACTTCTTATTTAGTTGGGTAAATTTGTTTGGAAATTCTCCCTTAATCAATGGCTTTGTCTCGGAGTTTTTCTCATCTCTCAAAATCAATCATTCCATAAGAATCCATGTTAAAAACTGGCCCAAAGATCTTATAAATAACATTTACATACTGTGCAACAACTGCCAACATTTGAAGATTAACATAATTTGGGATAAAATGCATGAAGTGGATTGTCTTCTTCTTAACCCATTACATTGATGAATTAATCATTACAATTATTATTAGGTTGTGAAATTATTAGTTATCTCTACTTCATATTACAGTATATACAATAAGCTGTTAATGATTGAGATGTGAAGATAAATCAAGAATCAAACCAAAGTTGCTAACACAGCTTTGGCTGAATTCATACTTTTGTATAGTGTATAAGTAAGATGTTTGCTATTTCTTAAATTATCTAAACTAAACTAAGTTAATCTCTGCTGTGAAGAAATTGAAGCTAATTAAAAAATCAGGTTTGTAGATTTATTGTTTTCAATAAATCCATCTACCCGATTTTTTAATTAATGCCAAATGGTCTATCATATTACTGTGCTATAATAGGTTAATTAATTACAGCCTGGTAATATAGCATTAAGAAAATTCTAGTTACTAATTACTAGTACTAACTGTTCTTTTCTTAGTTAGTAACTACAATTTTTCTATACAAAGGCAGAATCAATTAAATTTATTTATTCTCCTAAATAGCAGTACAGAAATGAAATTAAACAAGCACAAAGATAAAATTTACAAACTTAACATTTATTTAGTTAAACTTAGCTAACATTATCCCTGATAATTCTGCAACTCTTCATTATCTGTTCTCCTTATTCTTCATTTATTCTCTTTCTGTTCTCTTGTGATCACATACCAAATTTTTTGGGAGTGATTTCCCTTAAAGGAATATTTATCTTCCTAATATCTCTGTTGTTATGAACACAAGCCCAAACTCCTAAACTATTGAATTATTTGTGTGTTATATTAAGGTAATCCAACATAAGGTTTATGATAGGCAATTGATTCAGGCTTTGGTTGTGTTGTACATATATTACTGTATACATTCCATGCAAACATGGAGTTTTGCCATATTTTCAGTGGTTAAAATTTTTTAATAAACTTTAAGTGCGTCAACTAGATGTTAATACCTATAAACCAGCAAAATAAAAGAAATAAAATGTAAACAAACATTTTTTTGCATTTATTGGTATTTACATCTAGTTGAGGTTAACTATAATAATTTATACAGTATTTTCATAGAGATTGCATTTATAAGTGCCTTTATAAATAAATATGTAAAACCAGTATATATGAAAAGTAACTGTATATTAAANCTTATCAATTTTTGAATATATTAATATTAAATTTGTTTTTTAAATAAAAAAAAGTTTTATCATCCAGCAAAATTTTAAAAATATTAATGTTCCATGTAATAAAGTATACAAATAGTGTTGCACAGTTTCAGAAAGGTTGAGAACCACTGTATTAAACTGTAGTTTAGAATGTTTTATCTTTAACTTAATGATATGAATTACTATATTATGAATTATTTTAAGAAGTAAATTTATACAGCATAATCTCTTATTTTTATGAAATTCTAGCTTTTTACAATATTCTGGCTAAAATTATCTTCTTCTTAATACTGGAATAAATCACAAATCACATACATATTTTAAATAACGTTTAAAGTCAGTAACAAAAATTTCATTAATTTAAAGACCTGAGGCAAATCTTGGTCAAGGTTGAAAACATTTGTCAAAAGTTTTTTACAGTAACAAATTTTTATTACCAGACTTAATATTCTGGCTTATGAAGAAAGCAAAAGAATTACATTAATATCAGGTGTAGTAAGATCTGATTTCTTGAAAAATTTCAATGAATTACATGTGTTATTCTTATTGATAATATATGTAATTAGTCCTTCATATACCGTAGAAACTTCTTATTAAATGAAATTAAAAAATAAACCTATATATCATATTTATTCAAATAAACAGCATAGTTGAAAATCTGACTGATTAATTTCAAATTATTTAATATTGTTTTATTAACTACATTGCACTTGAAATAATGTTTGATGTATGGAATTAATTGCAACATAAGTCAATTAATTTATCAATTAATAATAGAAAAATGCAACCACCAGAAAATATTAGTCATTGTGCCTATTTGCTCAGAATGATATCAGTACAGAACTGCCAAGAAAGTATATAATTCATATTAAAAAAAGATACATTAAATTACTAGGAAGGCTCTATAAAACAATTTTAAAAAATACCCAATGATGATTAGTTAACAATTATAATACAATTATATATTCCTGATTTAGTCATTTATTGTTAATTTGGCAGTTGTTCCATTATGATTTGTGAACATACATTACCAATCTATGTTTACAAAGATGTTACATAAAATTCAAAGCTATTCATTCCAATAAAATAAAACGTCAACAGCACACCGTGATATATAACAACTAACCTCTAAAAACCAACACAGTTCATTTTCTCAAAAAATACAATATCACAAACGTTTTTGAACATAAAGTTCTTCCTCAGGTGAGAAACGGATGAAAAATTGAACAAAATTCGATGGAATAAAATTTTTGAATTGTAAATATCAACAACTCATAGCCCAAGTAGTAAATACATCACGATCAAATACAAAACGATCGCCTAAATATCGGGCTATAAGCCGTATTATAGCCCGATATTTAGGCGATCGTTTGGTGATGTATTTTTGAATTGTTTTACGCTCCTCTTTCAGAAAGTGTTCCATCGAATTTTATTCAATTTTTTGTCCATTTCTCACCTGAGAAAGAACTTTATGTTCGAAAACATTTGTGATATTGTATATTTTTGGAGAAAACGCACCGGTATTGGTTTTTAGAGGTTAGTTGCTATTCATTCTGTCTAATTGTTTAAATAAGTTAGAATAAAAACAATATTCTAACATACTAAAAAATAAAATTAAGATAAATTATGATAAACAAGACATTAAAAACAATTCTTTTTCTAAAACCAGACAAGGAATACAAGTACAGCACCACAATACTTTAATCCAGTCCCGCACTAGGTTCAGTCTTAGAAGAAGATCAAAAACATTACTTTTTCTAGTAAATTAACCTGGTATGGACTAGATCAAGATATTATGGTAGCGAACAAGACATTATAATAGAAAATATGGTCATTTTAAAAATTAAGACAAAGTGAAATTATAGATCTTTCATTTGTTATTACTTTCTAAAAAGGTATATTTTACCTTCAAAAATGTAGAAACAAAATAAAAGTTTTAACAGCATATACTATATATCTGGAAATCTCTCTACCTATCCAAAAAACCTTTTTGATTCAATAGATAATTTTTAATCAAATGAATGTTTTTGACTGGCATTTTCAGGTTCTAACTACAGAACATCAATTAAACTGTGAATATTACAATTTAGAAATCATTGTAGATTGATTTGAATTTAACATTTAAATATGAAAACAATTGCATACAAAATTAACCTATAGATAAACAGAAAATGTAAGGTTTTGAAAATTCAAGTAAAGATTAATATGTACACAAATAAATAATAACCTCATACATAAATATTTGAAAATAACAGTTGTATGCTTAAGAAAGGTCACCTTTCAGGGACTAAAATTCTTGTGATACAATATCCTCCATGCATTTGATAATCCTGCAGCTGAAAATATTTGTTCTATTAAAAATTACTTGCTGGATCAAAAAGGTTTTTTTGGATAATATTATTATTATTGGCTGAATCCAGTTCTTTACTTGCAAGTTATTTTCATGTCTGCATAATTAGAAAACAATTCAAAAGGATGATAAGATTATGCTTAAAAATTGTCTGTTTTAATCTATAATTTATATTGCTTCATAAACGATCAATATAATTAAATATAAAACATATGCATTAATTAAAGCATATTAAATATAATCAATATTTAATATGCTTTAATTAATGCATATTAAATATAGTTTGATTATCTTAATTAATGAAACAAAATGATTACTGGATTTAAATTAGACTACTTTACCACTACTGTTAATAGTTAAATACTCATTAATTTGATACTAGAGGTAGGCATTAGGCACTGTCTCTTATTAACTATTAAAATTATACTGTGCTGATGCATATCTGGCAATGCATCAGCAAACTAAATGGCAGTTGCGAGTTTGAGTCCTGCTCCAGGCAAATTCTTTTCTTCCAGAATATTCTAAATTATTTAATAAATATTAATTTAATTACTTAAACTTTACTTATAATTATTTTATTTAATTATATCAAATTACTCTGTACTTAATTATTAATAGTAGTAGTAAAGTAGCGTGATTTAAATTCAGTAATTGTTTAGTTTTGTTATAAAATATCAGACTTTGAGGTGTTTATATTATCTTAGTTAATAATTATAAGTAATTGTTGTTATTAATAGCAACTTAAAGAAATTGGGTAAGAAAATTGATTATAAATATTAATTTTAATTTATCTGCAGGTTGAATTTAATATATTTTTAAATTGTTTTTCAGAAAAGCAAAGAACCCAATGCAGTTTTAGAAACTGGTAAGTAATATTTAATTTTCAAGTTTTTGAAACAATGAATTTATTGAAAACAATTGGTCAATTTTTTTGGAAAAATAAAATAGAAACAAGTCAGATTTTGCTTACGTAAATGCTTAAGTAAAAGTTTATAATGTACAGTACAGTACGATAAAAAATACATATAAAACTTAATACATTTTAAAAGAAAAATATTTGTTTTAATGGAGTTTAAAAAATAACAAGTTCTGGTTTTTGGACTTATATCTATTGTCTAGAACACTACAACACTGTTACCAATGGTCAGATAGCCAAGTTGGTAAAGGCATCAGTTTATTGCTCTGCAGATCAGGATTTGATTTCTAGGTTATAAACTTCAGAATTTTTCGTGGACTGTTGAGTTGTATTCCTCACCATTGTTCCCATGTACATTGTCAATCTGAGAAAAGTCCATGGTATGATTGAAAAGACCCTCTTACAAGGGAACTGTCAGAGTGTCTTCTAATAAATTTTAATAAAATTTAGTTAATAACTACGTTAAAAGTATATAAACTCTATTTTAAATTTGTAGCATTCACTAAAAGTGTTGATCAGAGTTATTAGCAATCAAATGTTGCACTACTTTATAGTAGTTTAACACAATTATGCAAATTTTTAGAAGTGAAAGAGTCGCGGAGGAAGACGGCAATATTACATATAGAATAAATTCTGGAATTTTCAAAAATGGTTGAAGAATTAATAAAATTTTGTATACTTTTAACATAATTATTAACTAAATTTTATTAATTCTTCAACCATTTTTGAAAATTCCAGAATTTATTCTAAATGTAATATCGCCGTCTTCCTCCGCGACCCTTTCACTTCTAAAAATTTGCATAATTGTGTTAAACTACTATAAAGTAGTGCAACATTTGATTGCTAATAACTCTGATCAACACTTTTAATGAATGCTACAAATTTAAAATAGAGTTTATATACTTTTAACAAAGTTATTAACTAAATTTTATTAAAATTTATTGGAAGACACTCCGACAGTTCCCTTGTTAGTGTCAAAAATGTAGGGGAAAAATACACTATTACCAACAGAATTTCTTTGCTTATTTCTCTGTTCTCACAGTCATTTGTAAGAAAGTTACCAAATATTATCGTGTAACCATATTATCATTTATAACATATATGTTATACAGTAGATGATAATCCTTATGGGCTAGCCTTAAACTAGACCATTATATAATACTATTACTTTGGTAATGTTTATTATGAATGTGTGTTGTAAGAAAATGTTTATTTGTGTAGTATGAAATGTTTTGTCTTCCAGGATAATCCTTATCCTGGAAGACAAAACATTTCATACTACACAAATAAACATTTTGATGTTGTCCGTGTATCTCTTATAAGTAATGATCTTTGGTAAGAATAATGGTAGAGCTTTTTGTTCCAATTGACATACAACCATTTCATTGAGGGGGCTACCCATGGGCACCCTAGCTTTTGGGGCAAGTAAGTGATATTAAACTGAAAGAGGAGAAACATGTCATATGTGCCAATTCTAAGATTTGCTAGTGATGAACAGACACTTCAATTTTCTGAAATAATAAATCCCAGAAAGTACAGTAGCTTCATCAACGGAAATAGATATGAAATCAAAAATTGTTACAGGAACAGTATTGGTCAGTTCCATTTGCTGTAAGAAATCAACCTGATCAGTGGAATTAGTGATTGTGAATGTACAGTCACTTAACCATGAATTTTAAAATATACGATGTACAA